CTCAAAAGTACTGAGTGTGAAAGATCAATCAAATAATTGGCAGCACCAGCTTTCATTTCTTTTCCAGATAATGGCTTTTCTATCTGCAGCAGAAAGTTCCAGTAATCAGAAATGTTACAAGCTTCTCTGCTGAAGCTAGAGAAAGTTATCTTACAGTGGCAGGGGGGAACTGTCTGACTGCAAATAGTTCCTCAGTGTCTAAACCTGCAGCGTGAGAAAAATTGAATTTGACTTGAGCTCTCAAAAAAAACCTATAAAGATAACTGCCATTTTCCTTCCCAATCAGACTGAGCTCAAATTCGGGTAAAAGAATTGGAGATTATTATTTCTATATCCTGGTTCTCTCTTCCAGCTTTCCAAAAATGAACAGGTGGAAAATCTCTGAGGAAAAGTGAAGAAACAAATAAGCACTTGAAAGATTTTAGGAGCTGTCAAATTTAGTACCAATTGTTATGGGCAATCCAGATGTTCAGAGAAGCTTCAGTTGCAGTCTTTTTTCATAGACCTATGTCAAAGTTTAAGGCTGGGCAACCTACAAATTCTGTAACCAAGAAGGGGTTCATGTAACTGTTGGAATATACCTAATTTTGGGGCATGGATGTCACGTTCTGTTGGTCACACATGGAATTTACATTAGTTCTTAGAGAAGTTCTTATATAGGAATAGTTTTACTCCAAATCTTTAGACTTCCTTCTCAGACTCTTGAAGTTTGGCAAGATAACCAGTCCTCCTAAATCAATAGTTTTGATAGCCAGTCTACTTATCATCTGCTTTTATTTGAGGTATCAAATGGAAGAGAAATTTTCTAACTTTCATCATAACATGAATTTTATTAAATATTCATCTCTGCTGATGGCAGTTTCACTCCCAATTTAATGTGGGCATTGGAATATCAGTTTATTAAGTTTCCTGTGGAGCACTGAACAAATAAATTAATTGAAACTTAGATTATTTAACACTTCTATTTAAATATGTTTTCCCAAATTGAGAGCTATCAATGACTACTAAGTAGTTTGTAATAAATACTCGCATTTTTAGGCTTCTGAAAGTTAATAACTAACTTCAATTTTGTTTCTCTTCTGAGCAAATATGCAGAAGACGTGGTACTAACGAAGAATTTATACTTTATCCCAAGAGCTGAAATCGTACAGAAACCTGGATAACTCTGAGGATGAGAGAAAACCCTTATAATCTAATTTCTTGAAAATTTAGTGTTGTGCATACAAAGATGTTGATGCATGATTGTATACATGCAGATATTGTTGACTGTACATCTATATGTGATTATTTTCTTGGTAAAGGAACAGATAACAGCTATATTTTGTTAGCATTTTGTTAGCATGAGCCACCACCTGAAAGGTTTTTACTCTATAGAAGTAATTTTTACTCTGTGCTATAATCTTAAAAGCGTGGAAAGGCATACCCTGGGGCAGATTGCTATTTACAGCTGTGCAGTCTTCTGATAGGCTTTCAGAACTCTGTCAATCATTTTGAAGAGTGTTACAGTAAATATAACCCACACAGCAATTTTGATAAGGAACAGTTGCAGGAAGAGAGGGACTGTTATGGCTCTTCAGTGCACAATGAAGTCTCCATTGGCTGATGAGATGTGCAGAAAGATAGGACTAAAGGTAGGCTATCTTTGTTAATGAAGAAGAAATAAAGAAAAAGGAAACATACCACAGAAAAACAGAAACGCAGCAAAAATCCCTTTAAAAATTATGTTTTGTTCCTCTCAAAATATGTGTACTTTGGAGGATGCTGATAACAGGCAGACATGCATATACCTAAAATGTTTCTTTGATATTTTACATCGATAAAGGGCTTAGTTTGAGTATATTATTAAGTTCAACAAACTCCAACATCACATATTACAGGAGAAGATTATTGCATTAAAAAAATTGATGCTTGGGGTATTCAAGGGAGTTTTGATATATGTTAAGCATCAAGTGACAGCTTACTTTTGGATAATTGTATTTTGGGCAACTGGAAAGCATATTATTCAGAATATGATTGAACAGTTTCAAATTTTCTTCAGGAGTGACAATTTCCATTTGAGTTAAAATACTCATCTATTTCATCTTTTCACTGGCAGTCTTGTTCCCATTTTATTAATTATTTTGAGTTACTACAACTTTCTTTAGTATAGAGTGCTGTTTTCATGGTTACTTTCAGAATTAGTAGGAGAGATGAATTCTTGGAAACTGGGACAAAGACGTATGTGAAAGCAGTTGTTCAAAGCTCAAGATGTAACCAAATCAAAATGCAATGAACATACACTGAAATCCGGCCTCGTGGGCGAGTCATTAAACAAGTGTCTTGCAGCAAACTTGCTTTAGCAGAATTAAATTTCTGTCTTTAGTGTGAATCCATATTTTTAGGGCTCATAGCATTAAAAAGAAGTGCTTGTATTATTTGTATATTTGCAACATCACAGAATTAAGTTGCAGAAGTGGAAGCATTGTGATGGCCAACATTAGGAGAGGTCACTTAAAGACATTGTGGAATCTCCATCTTTGGAGATAGTTAGATCTAGGCTGGAGATGGCCCTGAAGAATGTGATCCAATTTTGCTTTAAAGCGAACCTTTCTCTCACAGGAGGAAGGACATGACCTCCTTCACCATTCTGTGTTTCTAAACAGCAATGAGAAAATGGTATTAAGCATTACCTAATAACTGGGAAGAGGTCGCAAATAGCATTTGATGATTTTCTAAAAAAAGCATCAGAAGAAGCATTTATAGATTTCATCCTCACTTGAGTTTTTTTTGGATTATGTATGTGAGTGTGATGGTCCCGTCTAATGCATAGTGCTTTTGCATCTTCTGGTTAAAGGGAAAAAAGAGCTGTGCTAGTTATGCAAAGGATAAACCAGCTTGAATTCTAAAGTCTATGTAAAATAATCTAAAGGGTTAGCTAAAATCACTAAAGTCGTATGAATAGTTCCCAGGAACTTCACTCAGTTGTAGATTTTGTTCTTAATTATAGTTTAATTGAATGAGCTAATTTAGAATAGTAACTGAATTTAATAAAACCTTTCTACTTTGCAGTATGACATAATGTATGGAAAAATAGGTAGATGTCTAAATTACATGCTGTCTTCCTATTAAAAACTGATACCCCTTCATTACTCTTTCTTCCCAAAAACTGACTTGGAGGTTAAGAGGTGCGAGCTCATGTTTGCAGGTTCAGTTTACTGACGAAGCATTTAAAGAGAAGACTTTTCATATTGTTCTCACCTGCTTTCAGAATTACTTATACGAAAACCAAGCAGAGGCTTTCCTTTTTTATTTTGGCACTGTGGAAATATTGATGCAGAAAAGTCAAGCAGAATGAAATTGTCTGAGTTGTGACCTGAGAAGTGTTAAAGTTTTGGGTTTCTGCGTATATGTGTTTTTATGATCACTTTGAGTTAGGTGAGATTTTCAAAGCATCTAAGAGGGAATTATTTACATGCTTCTGCCCAGTCATTCTGTTACTCCTGGGACATAATGATCTCTCAGTCCTACACAGGTCAAAATATTTAATGTAGCGTAAGTTGGGATGGTGTTGCTGTCTCGGCTTGCTGAGAGCTGGCATTGGTTGAATTGATACCAGCAGCAAGAAAAAAAACCACAAGAGCCAGGGAATGAACACAAATGGGCTCCTTTCCTTGTCCCAGTGGAGACCTATTTTGACCATCTGAGGTGCCAATACAGTTGAGTAGCTTGCTTGGGATGTGTCTATAAGGGATCAGAACATCTACTGAGTCAGTTATTTTTTTTTTTATTACACTTAGTTATTGTCTTATTGGAAGTTAATCCCCACAGACACGTTAGTAGTTGCTGCTTGAGAGTATCAGCTGTGAGGCAAGACATCCCTGGGAAGCTGAGCCTCAGCCTCCTCCATGTGAGCTCGGGTATACAGGAAGTGGGGAGGAGAAAATGAAAAGAGAAGCATCTCTTTGGATTGAACAGGAAGCCTCACAAGCTGGGGTGAGGGTTTGTCATATCTGCTAGGAACAGGAGTTGAGATCACAGGGCTGTCAGTGCTTTTGCTTAGATTTATTTTTATCAAGTAGCACAAAAGCTTTGATTTTTGTATTGATTCATGGTAAGCGGACAAAAGAGGTTTTAATACTCAGAGACTAACGTTGCCTTTTCTTAGTTTCAGCACTAATGCATTTGTGTATAGAAAGCTAAAGTTCAAACCAAACAAAATCGTGTCTTTAAATTTTGTCATGATTAATTACAGATTACTTTTTTTAATTCACTAGAGTGGTGGTGATTTCTGGACCCAAGGGTATTTAACAGAAATGACCATAAAATATGCTAATATGTTTTGGCATTTATAATAAGCTATGATTGCGAGTAAAGGAATTATTTCCATTCTTTCTTATTGACAAGGCAATGGCTTGGTTCGCGGGAGTGGATCAACTGGATCTAGTCAAAATCTGGTAAAAAATAAGATGTTTTCTATTTCAGAGTATTTATTTGGGAGACTTTTTTCCGGTTGTGATTTTACAGATTTTTATTGGTGTCTTCAAAAATATTAGTCTCGGTTTTGAGCAAACTGTCTAATGTTCTAAACACCATCACATAAATGCCTTTACACTTGCATTAGGCAGTGTGTTAATTTGCATATTTACATATTTATGTCAAGAAGATCTTAATTAGACTATGTGTTAGAAATATGCAGGCTGTATAGCTTCACTATCATACTAACCAAAGGGAGACATTCCTTCCTCGATAAAAGAAGGAAAGAAGAATAACCATTTTAAGAGGAGCCTACATTGTTTTGTCAAACTAATTTGTGGTCTATTTTAAGATCTTTCACTGTGTGCTTTTCGTTTACAACCTTGTGAACAGATGAACTAAAATTACCTTTATTCTTACGCCTAGAAGTCTGTTGGCTGGTGTTACATGGTGATGACTTCAGTGTTCACAACGTACGCTTCTTTTATGATAGGGATGTGGTTGAATATAAACACTGTATTTTCACTTCTGTTTTGATTTTCTTGTAGACATTTCAGCAGTCTTCTCTACAGCAGAAAAGCAAAAAGAAGAATAAAGGTAAAAAAAAAATATGTTTTCATGTGTTGAAAGGAAGGGAACTGCCAACATTAATGTTTACGGTATTGCAGTATTTGAGGATCTAGAGCTTGTTAGTTCCAATCCAACATTTAGCTCAGCTGATCAGATTTTGAAGGTGTTAGTCCATTACTAACATCTCATAGTTTCTAATGCTCCTCTGCCTGCATATATCTGCCGTTACCTTTTTTTAATACCTAGATTCTAGCTTCTTCGAGGCCAGTGCTGTTTTTTTCCAGCTGTGTGCATGTAATGTCCTACTGAAGTCCTTGCTCATTACCTAAGCTGCCAGGTAATTTATATCACAGTAAATTGTCCTCCTTTGAAAACAATTCCTTGAGTAAACTATCCTCCTTTGAGGACTTCTTAAAAAAGTACGAAGGCCTTAAGAACTGTTTAGTTGCAAAAGGAGCTGCAAAGAGGTTTTTGAATACCCATGAAGTACTTGCATAGTTCTATTTGGCAGCAAATGTAGAAGTACATGAATTTATGTGCTGGGTGCTTTAATCTGATGTGAAATATTAATTTGTCAAAAAATTGCAAATAACTATTTTTCTTACTTTTAAAATCTTGCCTTTCTTTTCTCTATAATGTCTTCTTCTGTGTTTTGTTTTGGGGTTTTCAGTTTTGGGGGTTTTTTAATGTAAAGAATACGAACTCTGCGATGTGCTGAACATGGTTTGCTTTGTATTGTTTTGTGGTGCCGTGTATAGACTGTGATTGAAATAGAATATTTGTAATAATTTATTCATGGCAAATAGAGGTTGAAATTTTTAATTCATTTTCTTAAGCAAAAGCATATTATTGCCTGGCTACCTGCCTTGTTGATTTAGTGGACAAGCCAAATGCTTTCACATCAACTTGTCATTTTCAGCTCCTATTCCTGGAAAAAGCAAAAGACGGATCTCATGTAAAGATCTTGGTCGAGGGGACTGTGAAGGCTGGCTTTGGAAAAAGAAAGATGCCAAGAGTTATTTCTCCCAAAAATGGAAAAAATATTGGTTTGTCCTGAAGGATACATCTCTATATTGGTATATCAATGAAGAGGTAAGCATCCGTGCGCATTGTCTCAACAAATACCCCGTGTAGTGCTGTTATCATGATTGAGTGGGAAGCCAGTGCTTTGAGTGCTTGTAGATGTGAATAACTTTATTCAAATAATTATACTGAAATTAATATTAACTAAATTACTGTTATAGTCCAGAGGTATTTGGTCCTTCAAATTTACCTTTTACTACAAGGAGAAATAACACACACTCCTGTGTCCTGCTCTCACCAGTTTAGAATAAATCTATCCTCAAACCCTTGAAAGGGAAAAGTAGTTATTTAATCCTGCCATTCAAGCTTAGTCATAGGAGTGTAAACATTAATGATATGCTGCCTGGTGTTCTATGTCTATCTGTGGTCGTGAAATCACCAAAACCTCTGGCAATTAAGGAAGATGCTTTTATTTTCTCAGTTGTGTTCTCCTGT